ATTTAAAAATTGTCAAAGTTGAAATTTATAATAAAAATATAGTAAGTGGACTCAAACTTTTGGAAGCAACCATATATGTATATTTTTTAAGTAATAATTGTTGAGACATTATGGATTAAAAGTTTAAGTACATACATATTTTTAATATATTTATTATATAATTAATAATTGAATTATATTAAAATGAAAATCAAATTTAATTTAAAAAAAAAACTCTCTCACTCACATTAAAACTACCAAATTAGGAAACACTCAAGGGAAAACAAAAATTTTGTCTAAAGGAAAAACCAAAGAGGAGGGGAGCTCCCCTCCAAAGCCTTCCAACATCAATGCCCAACATATCTTGCTAGACATAGTCTTGACTAATAACAAAAGGAATCTCAAAGTCTCCATCATTTATAAAAATGACAAAACATCACAAATCTATGTCACCAAACCAGCAAAAGAAATTTATGTCCCATCTTTTAACAACCACCCTAGCTCTTGGCTTATTCCTACCACAATAAAGCACACCAAATCAACAGAAGAGTTCATCGAAGTCATCCAAGTAAAGTTCGAAGTCACAAAACAGCTTCTCAAATCCCAACTCAAAGCAACTGCCTCACTTTTAGATCCCAAGTCCTTGGAGACACTAAATGAATTTATTGAACACCAAACAGATTTTAAACTGGACACAAATGACAGAGAGCATGCCATCAAAGAGATGGTAAAGAATGCCTTGAACTATGACCTACACCTTCCATGGAGTGGAGTTGTAATTATTGCCAACGAATCCTCCCAAACCTTCGAAATCCAAAAATATGAATCCCCTAGACCCCCTCCAAATACTCCTACCCCAAATGAGGAAATGAGCAGCGACAATGAAATGCAGATTGACTGTTTCCCTGAAACCATGCATGCAGAGTCCCCTGAGTGCAACAAAGATCACACTAGTCCTCGAGCAACGACTGCAACACATGTCACAGGTCATACCAACCCTCATGCACTAAATGTAACGCATGAAGTAGATCACACCAGTTCACCCAAGTACCATGCTAGTTCTGATAGCACATGCCCATACCACAATTACCCACAAGTGAAGTAGTCATATCGTCATTTACAGGCACAAACAGTACAAATACGGAAGTTGATAACAATCTTACCCCACTCCAATCAGATTTATCTCAATTTCAGGTGATATCCTCATGGGCAGATGACGCAATTGAAGAAACCAAAACCAGATCTTCATCCCCTTTGACTATAAACAATGATATCAGAAATGTTAACCTAGAAGCCGAACAAGCAAAGCTAATTGAACTATGCAGAGATCTCGATAATTGCGAGTGCACCCCCAAAGCCATTGTCGACTGGTTCCTGAAATTAAGAGAAGAATGCAACCCAGGCCTAAAGCCTAACACTAAATCCATTTTCACTAAAATCCTATATAGGAATCGAGATTTATTCAGAACCTTCGCCAGGAAGGAAATTATCAAGGGCCAACACCAGAGAGAGTATGAAAACATAGAGAAAAAGTTTCATAAAAATTACATGAAAAACAATAGAATCGGATACATCAATTGAGCTACTAAGAGAAAAATCAGAATTATCATTAACAAAGCCCTCGCAGTCATCTACATCAGATCCACAGACACCAAAACAATGAAATTCTGGCAAATAGTACAGATGCTGGAATACCTCTTTAACTTCTTTATCAATCCTACCCTGGACAAAATAAACTACAAAGAAATCTACACTTAATGTGAGGAGCAAATAAAGAAAAACTTGCCCAACCTTCCTCAATCACCAGAAGAAATTCCTAGCTCAATCAAAATTAAATTACCAAGGGCAATACCATTAGCGTTACCTAGTCACATCGCTGAAGTTGCCAGGAGTCTCAGAGTGTTCTACAACTTTGACTTCCTTCTGACAACCTTTTTCGTCCAAAGATCAAACCTTCCAGAAGACCCCTCGATACTCAAAGGAGAGCTCAAAAAGCTTTTCCCCCTCACCAAAAGAAGTGACCTCAGAAATCTCAGGCAGCTTACAAACCAACTCAGAGATGTCTACTATGTCCCGGCAAAGCTCCCAGAAAGCTATTTCCAACTGCCCCCTCCCAAACAGACACTTCCAGCCTCATACGAAGAGTTGGTTTATGATCTGCGACTCTATTTTCCAGTTGACAACGAACCTAAAGTGATGAAAGAAGTAATTGAAATCCTCAAACAGTACAACTATGCAGTGATATGTCTCCCTCTCGACTACATCAGAGTCAAGTGCCCCTTGCCCCCAGCCCACTGGTTTAGTGAAAATAATGAATTGGATCTACCAATCACTCACCAAGAGGACGTAGAAGAATTCATTACCAATCTCTCCCACAAATTCAAATTTAAGCTTCCGTTAGGACCGCAGTGGATCAAAGAAGGTCTAGTTCAAGACAAGCACCTTTCAATGCTTAAAGAGTTTGAGGAGATAGAGACACACCTCAATATCAACAAAGAACAACTCCGCAGAGAGTCACTAGACTTCTCAACAACAATCAAAAAAATTAAACAAACATACCAAGGCCAGATTCCATGAGAATGGATTCTTCCGATACTTCCAGAACTGCCCTCATTACAAGAAACAAACAAATACCTCAACCAACAAGGAATAGACATTACCCTACCTTTAATAGAAGACCAATTTATTAACACTGCAATTTAGCTCCTCCGAGCCCACTTCTTCTTTGACAAACTTCCAATGACCTTCATCACCGAAACTGAGTCACCCGACCTGGATCTGACTCTCTTATCCTGTCTCTTTTAATGAGAACACAAGCAAATTCCAGTCATTCCTTTAATCTGAAATGCTTACCTCCCACTCCGATACAACCCCTTCTTAACCATCACCCCCGCTTGATCAGAAGCAATCAAAATTAAAAATTGGAAATTTAATAACCATCTCAACTTTAAATGTCCAAGGACTTAATGAAAAGGGCTAGCTTCATGCCCTCATAGAAAACATAAACAATGAGAGAGCAATCTTATGCTGCTCAAAAACCAAGAACACAATCCGTAACCTGCTACCTAAAAAAATCCAAGACAAAACTATTATTTCTAGTCAACCAGCTCCCTCAGCAAGCAACGGTGCCAGCATCATCTTCTCCAAATCAAATTCGAACCACATTTACAACATATTTGTTCCCAATGAATTCTGGTGTGCAGCTCACCTCAAATTCAAGCCCAAAGTTAATATCATAATAATTTCCTGTTACCTACCATATAAACTAACTGCGAGAAAAAAAGCAGTCATAACGATCAGAGATTTTACTAGGCAACATATAGACAAGCACATCATAATAGCAGGAGACATCAACTCCTTTTCCAACTCAGCTCCCTTCATCAATGCACTCTCTCCGGTTTTCAAGAAACAAGTCTACAGGCACCTATATAAGTTCATTGATGTTGCAAGAGCAATCAAGAAAGGATCAGAATATATATATATCACATCCACAAGTGCCTCAAGAATTGATCAGATCTGGATAATTGATAACTTGGCAAGCAAGATAATTAGCTATAAAGTCTTCGATCAAACTGCCATACCTACAGACCACAAACAAATCACTATAGTCCTGGATTGGTTTGAGTACAAACCTGACAGAATCTTCTTCTCATCCAGTACCTTCCAGTTCCATCAGGCAACAAAAAAACAAGTCCAATCAATGCAGGAAGACATAGAACTCGCCCTTGCCACAATAGACAACATCTCCTGGGAAACCCTCAACCTGGTTATAAAGCAAGCTATGGAATCCAATATCCCAAAACTTAAGCAACAAAATCCCACCCACCCAAATAAAGCTCTTGTTAGGTACACAAATGCAATAAAGTCAATTAAAAAATCAATCAATAATCTCAAACACAATCAGAGCCAATCAAAACTATATCCCCTGGCCAATAAAACCATAAGAAAACTTTCTAACAACCCTCTGACACTTAAGACTCTGAGAAAAGCTCAAAGAGTCCTCCTCAATGAAAAAATGTTCAGAGCTAAACAGATAGTAATGGATGAAATCCAAACCAGCATAGAAAAAAACTACTACAGATTCTGGACAAAACCAAAGGCATCTCTCAAAAAAGCTCTAGGAGATCTCAAACCATCTCTGGATCTGTCAATACTATCCAAAGGAGATCAACTGTGTGATAATCCAAATGAATTAAGTGAAATCATCTTTGACCATTTCAGAAGCATCTTAACACAAAAATCCTTTGAAATGGAGGAGGAGTGGGCAGAATACTACAACCCCATTCCAAGTATCAATAACACAATCTATTCAGACACACTTAGCATTATAACCCCAGAAGAAGTGAAGGATACTCTTAGTGATCTTCCAAAAAACAAGGCACCGGGTCTCTCTTTAATCCCATATGAAGTATGAAAAAACCTGGGGGAAAAAGCCTTTAAGTTGATAGTCGAACTATTTAACAAAGTCCTCGAAACATCGCGACTCCCATACCACTGGAAACAGTCAGCAGTAGCCCTGCTTCCCCAAAAAATAGTATGGTCACATGAACTAGCTGATACCCGTCCAATCTCCCTCATAGAATCAAGTAGGAAAATCTTCACAAAAATTATAAACAAAAGACTTACTCAACCCTTACTCAAATATAATATCCTCTCCAGTTGCAACTTCACTGGACTCAAGAACCAAAGTACAATGAAACCAATTACAATTGTGCTCTCAAAAGTCGAGCAAGCCAAAAACCTCAACCAAGAGCTTTGGATTGCCTCCTTTGACATTTCAAAGGTATTTGATTCAGTCAATCTTGATAGTCTTCATCATGCCCTCAACTGAGTCAAAATACCTATCAAGATCTCACAGCTCATCCTGAATCTCCTAATGGAAAGAGAGCTCAAAATCATCACACACTATGATCTGACAAACCCTTTAAAAATCATTAACGGCATTGACCAGGGAGAGACCCTAGCTCCCCTCCTATGGACGATCTTCTATGACCCAATGGTCGCTAGAATCTCAAGCAGTTCTGACCCCTCTTCAGCAATACTTGCATAAATGAATGATATGGTCCTCATAAGCCAACGCATTCACACTCTTCAAAAAATAACAAACACATTCTGCTCCTTTCTTAAACTAAACTCAATTAAGTGCAACAAGAAAAAAACTGATTTAATTAACAACATCAAGACCAGGAGTCAGCATGCAAATCAAATCTTAATAGTCAAAGGGAAGCCTATTAGCTCCAAACCTTATAAAGAAGCAATCAAATATCTAGGAATCTATCTCTCTGGATACTCATCAGCAAAGGCAACCAAAAACAAACTCAAAGAGAAAATAGACAAATTTATAAAAGCAATTGCTAGTCAGAAGGGATGGAATGGCACCATCACCAAACAAGCATCCATTGGATCATCCCTGCACAACTAGACTATGCAACACAAGTCTCGGTTTAAGTAATAATGAATGCTCTCAACTCCAATCAAAAATGGCTAGAGCAATTAAGCAAAAACTAGGAGTCGAACGGATCCTCTCCAACAAAGTTCTCCACTCTTACGCAAGCTTGGGCATCATAAACCTACGAGACAGAAGAGACCTTGTAGCAGTCAAACTTCTTATTGCCAAACTGTCCAACAAAAAAACTATTCCAGATATCAAACTGGAAATTTATTCTATCCAATCTGTACACGCAATTTGGTGCTGTCCAATATGCAATCCACAATACTTTGAGGACTCATGGATAGTCTTAGCTGCACTGATTACTAAGAGATACAACATTAATATATGTCCATACTCTTGTCCTTTTAACCTCAAGAACTATGAACACTCCATCAGTCTCATTACAAAAATGCGTAAATCTGCAGCCTTGCCAATCTCTAAATCACAAATTTGTACCATTTAAAATCTCCTGGTCTTTAATCAACCACTTAAACTAATATGGGACGAGCTTTACACGTACAGAGGAATGGTAGTCCGTGGTAGAATTCCACTATGGTTCAGTAGAATTCAAATTAGTGACAGCTCAATAATTGAAGACACCTTACTCAAACTACACCCTAGACTGATATTCTAGGCATACCTATCGAACAACAATTTAAACTTCATAAGAGTCAGGAAAAATGCTATCCATATAGATCCAGTTAGAGACCTTCACTATCTTATCGATGCCAACTCAAAACAATTGATTCCTTGCCACTGTAACAGAACTTCCTGCACAATAACAAAAAACATCTCTGAATTAAACTCCTCCTGAACTACCAAAAAGCTAGGACATTACCACCTTCTCAATAACATTCTAGAGCTAAAAGAGTGATTAGCAATATGCCTCCAACCAATTTACAACCAGGTATTCTGATTCATCCCAAAATTCAAAGGGCACCCTTGGATATAAGTATCTCACAAGTCAGAAATCAATT